GGGTACGGCCCTCGTGTGTAGCAGGAGGGTGTGGGTTCCTGTGGGGACTGGAGCTGCATGTTCCCTCCCCTTGTGATCCTCTGCTTCTCCTGGTAGTAACTTCCTTGTTGGGGCTTGTTTGCTTGAGCTGGTCCATCATCCAGTGATATGGGACTGCACCACCTGCCCCATGCTTGTGCTTGTCCTTGTCCTCACAGGATCGCTCCGGACCAACCCCAGCCGTGTCTGCCAGCTGTTCTGCTGCCTGCCGGCCCCAGCAGATGCTCGGGCTTTTAGGGAAATAAGACCCAGGGGCAAAGCTCGGGGCTTTGGGTCAGCGCAGGCAAGGCAGATGACTTCCATTTGCATTTGAGCCTCCCACCATGACAGCATTTTGAAGCTGGCAGCTCTTGCAGCAGCATTAAGCTGCACTGCTGTTGGTCCAACAGGAGCAACTGCCTCCCAGAGCAGGCAAAGCAGCAGGCAGGAGCGGGCTCCAACGAGCCCAGTTTTAAACCACTGAGAAGCTCTTCAAAGTATTGAGGTGTCTTTTTTTTTTTTTTTTTCTTCCTGTAGATTGTCGCCAGTATACGAACAGGAGCTGTGAGGAGTGTCTGAAAAATGTCACTGTAAGTAGCAGCAGTACAACTCCCAACCTCTCTCTATACCTAAAAATGCAGCATGGGCTTTGTTATGGAGCAGCTTCCCTCCCGGAAGGGGTACTGCTCCCCTGCCCTTGTCCTGAGCACACTGCAAATGCCACCCAGCCGTGATGGTGAGAGGGCAAACACCCCTTGGTGCTCTGGGAAGAGGTAGCTAGAAACTGCTTGAGTTTTGTTGTATGCTTTTCAAGTCAAGTAGTGGAATTGCTGAGCATCTCCTCACAGTTGGGAGATACCATCGTGCCCACAGTGAAGGAGTTGAGTGGGCTGGACTGGCTGGGGGAGCAAGTGGGTGCCATGGCACTAGGCGGATATGGGGTGCATACCTGTGTCCTCCCAACCTCCGCTGCCTTATCTCTGACATCAGCAAACTTGAACTTGAGTCAGATCTCGAAGCTGACATAGATAGCCAGAACCAGTTTGGCCAGAACCAGTTTGACCAAACCCAACTGAACAATGGTGTTGGGGGTTGGAGCCACCAAGAGAGGAGGGTGCCAAGCTGCTGCAGGTAGTCTGGCTGGGAAAGTAGAGAGGGCACACACAAACCTCTCCTGCTCATCAGCTCTGCACTGAGTACCTTGTCTCAAAGGCTTTCTTCTTGTCCCCAAAATTCTGCACGGTATAAACACAAAGGATTTGGTGATTGCTACCATCATGCAAGGCAGGAGAAGGGTTCTCAGCATCTTTACTGGCTCTAGAAATCTGCACTCCCCTCACCTGCCTCTCCTGGTGCAGCCCGATGCAGCCTATGCTGACCAAAACCAACTGTTACTCCTGAGTATCCTGTTGCTGCTGGGTGGTACTGGCTCTCGGGAGCAGGCAGCAGCGGCCTGGTTGCTGTGGCTAACAAAGCAGAGTGTGGCTAACTAGGAGCACTGCTGCGCACCAGTGACGCTGTGCTGCCTGGTTCCTGTGTCCCAGTGCCTGTGGTGTGCCAGCAGTGGGAGATGTGTGGAGTACCCTGTCCGAAGAGTTCTACCCCCAGCTGACCTCTGTGAACTCCGCTCTGCACGTTGGGGAGTCTGCTGGGGTAAGTGCTCTGTTTCCTGGTGGGTTTCTGGAGAAATTAGTGTCTTGTTTAGACCAAGCTTGGTGCATGCTCATGCTCAGACAGGACTCAGCTTTTCGGGGCTGGGGCAGCTAGGAAGCAAGCTGCAGCTTGGTTTCTCTCACGTGTCCCCTTGATGGGGAACTTGGAGTTGAATTGTGGTCACCTGTCATGTATTGTGCTTGAGGCTGGGCTCTCTTCTCTACCCACAAGAGAGTTAAAACCACTTCCATACCTTGTGGAGGAAGAATCTTCTCTTTGTGAGCACTACAGTGTGCTTTTCTGAAACTTGTGTAAGACCTTGAAATACTAGTTTTTATGTGAGTAGCTTCACAAAAGGTTTCATTTTGGAAGGACACATTCCTTTGCTTGTAAAACTCGCTTTAGAGATTAGTCCTGTGGGAGATTAGCTCTTAAATGAGTCTGCATTTTTGGTGTGTGTGACTTAAGCCTTTATCATCAGGTGAAGGAGTGCCTGGTGCTCTGCCACAGGCCTCTTTCTGCGGGAAGGGGTGATCTGAACCCCAGGCTCACCCTGAAAGTCAAGGTTTCAGAAGCACCAATGCAGACGGGCTGGTGGAGAAACTCCTTTTTGAGCTGAAGAGCCTGTTTGGGTTTGTCTCGTCCCACTGGGCTGACTTCTGATCCCTGACTTTTGGGCTGTCCTCTACATGACTCCACGGGTCTGTTGCAGTGCAGCCAGCGAAAGCTTCATGTTCCTCTGAGGCAAGACATGCTGTGGACAGTCAGGTCTCAAATACTACCTTTCTCAAAGCCTTAGTGTGAATGTGGACCTGCAGACCTCCCTGCTGCTGGGTGACTGCTGGAGAGGCTGTGTGAGCCTGTGGTGGTGCTGGTGGCTCGCTGACTTCTGGTCTCACTGGTGACCTGCTAGGCCATAGCAGCTGTCTGCGGTTGGTACTTGGAACCATGTTCCTTGCATGGTGCTTGCCATGGTAGCCTGGGTAGGGATGCAGTATGATTTCAGAGTGAGATGGCACAGTTGTTGGCAGCGATGAAGCTCTCCACTGGGAGCAGGAGCTGGAGGTTTTCAAAGCAAGTTCAGTGGTGGAGTCAGCTCAGCCTGGAGCAGCCCAATAAGCCTGCTACTGTTGAGTCCCTGCAGCAAGGGGGCAGGCAGGCAAGCATCTTCTGAAATGCACCATGTGCAATGCTTGGGCTTTCCACTGGGCTCATGGTCTGAGCTGCATGGAGAATGATAGGACGAGGGGTAATGGTTGGAAGCTGGGAGAAGGCAGGTTTAGATGAGATACAAGGAAGAAGTTCTTCACCCTGAAGGTGGTGAGACACTGGAACAGGTTGCCTAAGGAAGTTGTGGATGCTCCATCCCTGCAAGTGTTCAAGACCAGGTTGGATGAAGCCTTGAGCAACCTGGTCTAGTGGGAGGGGTCCCTGCCATGGCAGGGGGGTGGGACTAGAGGATCTTTGAGGTCACTTCCAACCCAAACCATTCTATGAGAAGAGGGGATCAGAAGTGCTCTGAGCGGGCTCAGGTGCAGTAGGATTTGTCACTTGGCTGCTGTGTGTGAAGTGGCTCCTAAACAAATACTTCCATGGACCCAAGTGTCTGAACAGTCTGAATCCTACTTGGAAGAAAACGCTTTTTGCTTCAAAGGGTTTCAGGTGATGTCTAGGTATATCTGTTCTGGCTGGTGTCTCTACTGCTATTACTGCAGGAGCTGAGTATGATAGCTGCCTCCCAGGGGCCAGGGCTCAAGGCTGCTGCTTCACCACCACGTCCCAGCAGGTTTTGTGCTGTGCATTGGTGAGCAGATCCCCCAAGCTCTGGGGAAATGCGGTGGTGGTGGTGTGCATGAAGCAGCCCTCCGCCTTCAGCTGTTTCAGCAGCGCTGGTGGCCCCAAGCTGGTAAATCCCAACGGATCTTGTCTTGCTTTGTCACACACCCAAGGACTCCAGACACCCATAAGTGCCTCCAGTCCACTGTCATCTCATCTTAGATGACTTCTGAGGCTGGCTGCTGGCTCCAGTGCCAGCTGTGGCCTCTCTGTCAGAGGTTGCTCCTCAGCACTGAAGCCTCTGGTTTTTTTCCCCCTTGATGGGTTACTGTTCACCTGGATTAGTGATTAAGACAGCTTTGCTCCTGTTTCTGCTGGAAGAGTTTGACCTGAGTGCCTTTGTTCTTGGCTTTCTTCATAGCCAGTAACTGAGTGCTGTAGTTAGCAGCTGCATATACTCAGTTGATGTGTACATGCTGGTGCCAGCGCCTGGTATACCTATAGATAACCATGTCCATCTTGCTCTCCCAGGCTGTTAGGCGTGTCTCCAGCCCAGTGACTGAAGCTGCTGGCGACAGTAGCCGTGTGCTTGTAAATATTGTCACTCCAGGCAGCTGTGTGCTAAATGTGTTTTGTCAAATTCTTTAGTGAACTTTGAAGCCCTGATCATTGCAATGTCTGTGCTGGGAGGAACGATCCTTATCACGTTGGGGGTCTGCTGCTGCTGCTGCTGTTGTAAGAAAAAGAGCAAAAAGCAAGTATTGGAAGGGTCCCCTGTTTTATCGAAGTAGCTCTGATGCAACCATGTGCTGTTGCAGAACTGAGTGCTGAGCACTGCTAATGGGCTTTTCTGTCTGTCAGGCCAGACAAGGATGATGAGAGAGCGGCCAGGGAGCGGGAGAAGAGGCGGGTGCGGCAGGAGGAGAGGTGAGGTTGCCCTGCAGCCCCTGCTCCCCTGTGAGCGAGTCACACTGTCGTAGGCTGCAGAACGATTTGGCTCCTGTCTGTACTGTCAAACGTGATGCCAGGAGGCACATGGAGTTCAACATGTGCAGTCAGTGGCTGCTTTAGCCCTAGCTCAAATGTAAACCTCATGAGCAATGTCTTTCTGGGGTGACTCGTGGATGCAGCATCACAGCAGTGTTGTGTATCCGATTCCGAGGGCTGCTGATGTGCATGGGCTCTGGTGGTCTCCTGTGCCTCCAGGAGGTGGGTGGCAGGGGTTTGAGCAAACCTGGCAGGCTGGAGCTCCCTAGGTTGGGAAGAAGCAAGGAGCTGTAGCTCCTCTTGCTTGGTTTTGTGTCACCAGTCACTGACTTGTGGTTTTTGTTTGCTTTTTGCAGGAGAGCAGAGATGAAATCACGGCATGATGAAATACGAAGAAAATATGGTACAGTGCTGATGCAAGCGATTCTAACTAAGCTTTTTGTCCTGGTTTGGCTGGGACAGAGTCAGAGCCCAGCCATGAGCAGTTTTGAGTTCAGCCAGGGCAGCTGACCTGAGTTAGCTACAGGTGTAGCCCATCCCAATGTCATGGTCATCATAAAGGGGGACCGTTTGCTGAGGAAGGGGGAGCTCTGGTTGGGGTTCCTGCTTGGGTTCCTCCTGAGAACTGTGAGGGTCAGACATTCTAGGCAGAGTATAACTTTGTATGTTTTATTTGTTTTGCTCTTTCATTACATCTGTCCTTGCTTCAACCTTTGGATCTCCTCTCCCTTTCCTGATCCCCTTCTCACCTGGGAAGGGGTCATCAGGTGACAGAATAACTGCTGTAGTTTAGCCCCGGTACGGGCCAAACACAGACAGCTTTAGATTGAGCAGCCTCAGTAACTGTGTTCCTTGCTATGGTTACAGCTGCAGAGGAGGCCTGGCCAGCAGGGAGAACACAGTCTTTGCTTCCCCCATCTCAGTGAATTGCTCTTTTGCCCTCTGGGAGCAAGTGTAGAGATGCTTGGGTCATGGCATGTGACCCCACACAAGTGCTGCTGCTCCTGGGCAGGGAAAGATTTAACACTCCCTGGGACCCACTTCCTCCAAACTCACCATGTGGGAGAAGCTGCAGGGACTTGACTGGAGGGGAGAAGCAGAAGCTGGTAGACACACCACCAGCTGTAATGCTGCAGCCCTTGAGGCTCTGGTAGCCCTATGGTCAGTGAGTGGCTGGGGAGCTAGCAGCCTGGGGTGGGGGGGCCAGACAGGAGCCTGGATGCCCCCAGCTGCAGGAGCACAGAGCAGGCACCAGCCTGACTGCAGAGCTGGTCCTCTGTGCTGGCAGTGGTTCATTAGGAGGTGGCTCAGTCCCCTGGTGCTGGGAGGGCACCTCTCTTCTGGGGCTGGACTGCCCTTTAGGTGAGTCCCATGGCCCTGGGGTGTGTGAGGACCTGCCTGAGGGCGACAGCAGCTTGGAAGGAAGGGAGAAGCAGCCAGTCACTTGGAGCTGGGGGAAGGGAGCCTCCTGCCTGCCTGTTTGGCGCTGTTGGGGGCTCTCCCAGGGTGGCAGTGGAGCAGGGAGCAGTTGGGCTCATGCACACT